ATTTTTTAAAAAATGTTGCTCTTTCCTACAGTGGCAAACTGCAAACACTATTCACTATGTTACATCAAGCCAACAGTAATACCAAGAGAAATTAGAAATATTCTGTATTTTTTAAATTTACCAATTAATCTTTCTTGCATGGAGTATGTTCAGTACATGGAAATTTGAAATCACAGGAATCAATTTCCTATCTTCTTCCAGTTCATAACATCACATACACATCCGCTAAATACCTCATTTATTTTTCTACTACTACAGACCAGGTGACTTCTTTAAAATAAAGACCTCTTACTGATGTATTATTTCATATTTTAAGAATATACAGCATCCTATATATGTACCCAGATGCACTGGGATTATAATCCAAGCTTGCTGGGAATTCTGAAACTTGTAGTCTCAAGAGATCTGGAGAATATGAGATTCAAAAAAGCTGATAAAGGGGCTGGATATAGAGCATCTTTTCCCACACCAGACTGGAGAGTTCCATAACCCTTGAAAGAAATTTTGCAACGAAAAGGGCAGAGCAGTAAAAACTCTGTCACCCACAGAAAATTCAGATCAGAGCCACAATTTCAAAATAATTAAGGGGCCCAGTCCAACTAGAGAGAGTGACTGGGGGGAGATGGGTGGCATACAAATTTAATAATAAATAAATTAAAAAATATATTTGGTGCCAATGAATCAATGGAACAACTTAATGGTGCCTTAATTTTGCAAGGTAATTGTATTGCATTCAAACAGGATTTACTGTTGCATTTACATGGAATTGCAACGTCAGTACAACTGGACCTAATTCTTTTAATTAGTTAATAATTAGAGAGCCCATATTATTGAACTATCAATTGGTATAGGATCTGGGAAAATAATGCTAATTAAGTAAGCCTTTGGTCTAAACTAACCTAGATCAAAACTGTACAACTTGAGTTGCCACTGACACATACAGCCTAAGAAAGAATTTGGCACAATCCTAAAAATATTGCCAAATTGCACATTCTAATGAAACGAAAAGGGAAAACCATCCAATGGGCATAGAGCAGAATATGCATTCCTGAGCCCCAGGGCCACATGATACCTTCTGAATCTTGCATATGGGATCCCATTCAAAGGCCAGGTTGTGCATCACTGAGTTGTTCAGGATACAGGACATCACTCTGGCATTCAAGCTGGTTCTTTATTAAAGTTTTTTAATAAAGTTATTCTCTTAATGGAGCATGATCTCACCATTGGCCATGATGCCTAGAGTTGTAGAAGGCTGTGATTCAGGAACAACTCAAGGGCCATAGGTTGCCCATATTTGCTGTACTGGTTAAATATAACATTTCAGAAAAAAGTAATTTTAATCCTTTAATCTAAAGAAAGGCACAAGTCTGCCTCTGATGAAATTTCGCTTTTAAGTTCACTCATATTCATTTCTATAGACTTTCCATTGGAATAATTCTATAAAATTGCTTGCAATTCATAAACAATCCAATTTTTCAAAACAACTGTTCCTTAGAAACTAGTTATTTAGAGCATTTTCTTAACTTGTTTAGCATAAATATATGGTGTGAAGAACAAAAACTGTAACAGAACTTATTTCAATAAAGACCATCTGCTTGCTGATCTTGGGCTCAACTCTTTGAATTCTCTCTTTTCAATTCACCAAACTGGAGAAATTATGGCAATAAAACCCTTTGTGTACTCCTTGTGTTTGATATCACAGTTCTATGTGTATCTCCTTAGTAGTGCTATATCCCACTCTATTTAATGGATTGACTTCTACGTAAGTATACTCAGGATGAAATCCCAAGTCAGGCCAACTAACTCCAAACCTCATAATAAAAAAAATCATTTTCTAAGCTCTGTAAAGACAAACATTTATTAAATTAAGAGGGACCAAGAACAGGCTATAATTACCTCAGCAACAGCTTCTTTTGTTAGGGAACAACAGCAAATAACATTGCAGTAAATGCTACCTATGGGTTATAAGGGCACTAGTTACTTAGGCATGTCTCAACAAACATATCCTGCTACACAGATTACCACACCCTGAAAAATGTAGTCTAAATATTGAGAACCAGAAATGAGTTCTTAAATCAATTCTGTGGACATCTTATAAATTTATTAGTAATAATATTTAGATCTGTAGAGCTCTTGTTCTGTTTTAAAGAACTTAGAAGCCACTGTTTTCGTAACATCCTTCCTGGGGGGCTCAGGGAAAAACAATCAAGCAACTCTTGAAAAGGCTATTCCTGTTATGAAACGAGAAACCCAACCAAAGTTTACAACAACAATTTGTTACAGATCCCAGGAAAGCTGTGTTGCAACTCACTAAGGGAGTCTCAAACCTACAAATTGAAGGATCATGTTTCTATAATATAGAGAAGTGCAGTCTCAGAGAAGAAAGGAGGAAGTACATACTAGAGCTAGCCCAGAAAATGGACAATCACACAAACATTCTGGAAAAAGAGCACTCACTCTACACAGCTCATCTATTCTGCTCCAAGTTTTTGACGTCGTCCACTCAGATCCTTAGCACAACTTTGTTTTCGTTACACTGCTTATCAGGTCTGCCAGTGACTGCGGTTTTAACATAGTCTCTGTGGCATTTCAGAATGGCATAGTGAAGCCAAACAGCCCAGTCTCCAAACTCCCTCTGCCTACAGCCTTTCTGCTCCACCTCCCTATGAATATGCTAAGCGGCTGTGTGGCTGACAGCAGCCCACAGAGCCAGGACGAAAAAACGTCCCAACTAGCACAGTCAAATGGAAAGGAAAACATTATCTACCAATGTGCTTATTTCACATAGTCATTCTAGTGCAAAAAGACTGCAGTTGTTCCTAGATATTACTGTTGCTTAGCTTGTACGGTTTATAGAGGCCCTTGTAATTTCCAAACATAGCAGAATTACCAAATGCGTGGTAATTCTGTGGAAGTCTTATACATGTATTAGTAATTTATAAGATGAAATGGCTAAACTGGGAGCACTAATAAATTATTTGCAACTCTTTTGTTTTTCTAAAAGCAGGAGGAGCACAGCTCATACACACCTCAATTCTGTCCCCCCCACCCCCCACCCCACCCAGCATCTATAAAGGCACAAAACAGTTCTCAGTACTTCCTAGTTATTCACCAGAAAGAAGCTGTAGACACAAAGATCTTGTAGTCTTTCTACTATGATTCTTCCTTGCTTCATATGTAAGGCGAGATGATGTTATTTGTGTATATACCATCATCCTTTTAAAACAAATATTGTAGATATTTAAAGAAGAACATCATCTGCATATTTTGAATTTGATCAGATATTTATCCTAACCTAGAGCACATAAAAACATTTTATTTTAGAAACACAATAAAACTAAATGCACGTTAAGCAGTAAGTCATGTAGCAGTCCTAGGGGCCCAACAAGTTTCTAGGGTTAGAAAATGCTAAGTTCAACCACTGATGGTTTTCAGGCATGAAGCTAAATTATTGTTCAAATTATCAATACAAAAAATGAGTCTAAAACTACTTTCACCCATTGCATTAAGCCCTAACACCCAGAGTCATGTTCTGTGAGATGGGTAGCTATATAAATTTGCTAAATAAATAATGTGATTTATTTGGTTTTGGTTTGGTATGCTATGTGAGCCCAGCCATTCAGCAAGAAGGCTTAAACATATCAGCTCCGCTGGTGTTTGAATTCATCTAGATGCGCTACAAAGAAGAAACTAGAATTTCTTCTTTCTTTACAACAACCAGAGCCTGACATGTTATCCATACAGAATAATCTATGGTTAATGTGAATTATGATTTGTCTGCAGTCTGTTTCAAAATACTGAGGCCAAGCAGCAAATGTTAATCTCCTTTCTGCAGATATTCAAGCTCCACAGCACTATCAGAGCCAGCCAAATTATTTTGGCATCTGAGCCAGAACTTCTCGCAAGCAACTTTCCACCTTCCTAGCAATAAAATACAATCATAAGCAATAACCTACTGCTATTTCTTGACAAACTGAACCAGCTTCATAACCCCTGAATGTCCAACCTTTGTTTAAACAAACCATAGCTAGTATTAACCACTATTTAGGACTTTAATAGCATATTAAACTGTGAATAATGGCAACTGGAAGCCTAACTGTCTGATCTCTGTTACATCAGATGAAAGAAAACAGGGCAATGAGCTCAACTTAGGTTCATTTTCACTATGAGAAATCATGGTTTAGTGACATCCAAATGTCACCATTTTGGGAGGGATTATATCTAAGTCTCAGAACACAAAAGATCCCAAACATCTCTGGTTAAAGTAAATGTAAGAATTTATATATTCACTGAATTTATTTCCTGCCTTTCTACCAAAAATGAGGTTACAAAGGGTGGCAGAGTCCCATGCAAAACCCCAGAGTTCCTGTTTTTGTTAGTGTAGAGACAGAAAGGATCAAAGGTGACATATCCAAGCACCCATCTCTTCTTGCTTTCTATAAAACCATTTATGTAAAGTAGATAAACACAAATTAATTACATTATACTATCTGAGTTACATCTACATTTCTTAATATGTTACACATTATTTTTAAGCAGAAGAGCAGAACATTAAAATCTTGGGATGCTTGCAGACTGAAATTAGATCAAAATCATTTATACTTTAAGAAGCACTCCAAAATAAAAGAAATTTGTGGAAAAGGACAGGAGGGTTGGAACATTAATAAATTTGGAGATATATATTTGAGATGAAGCAATATACAGAAATATGACCAGCATGAAGCCTCATTTACAATCAGAAATTACTCCCCAAACATCAGTATTAACGTCTAGCATTTAGAATCTGTGAATATTAATCCTACTAACAATAACTTAATTTATAGATTACAATACATGTTTTTGCCCTTTTCTTAATTTTAGTGAACTCAGAAGTTCTTTACCTCTTTGTAAAAACAGCGAACTGTTATTATAGTGGCAGCAGCATAAGCATTTAAGTTTACAACAATAGGGAGACATTTTGTTTTTGGGAACGTTAACAGGTCTACAAACATTTAAATTACCTTACTGACTGAAGAAACTCCACTGGTCTGGGTTTTGGGAGATTCAGTATTGCTAGTATTTACGGGTCTCTTCTGTAAAGAAAAAAAAAATAAATATTTTTTTTCAATAATGAGAGACATTGAATTCTATTTTTAAAGCTTTATTTCCCTGCTATATTGCAAAAATACTAATCTGTAAGCAGTATCTTCATGCAATTACATTAAATAGTGCTCCAAAAAAGATGCTTGGAGCACCATTTGGAAAAATGAATACAGATTTCTCAAGCAATAATATTCTCAAGATTCAAAAATGTATTAACATACTATGATACTCCTATCAGATGAATCACAGGCTTATTTTGAGATTATGAATTAACTGTAGATTCTTGTCTTCCATCCTCCCATCAGAACAGAATGTAGTGATCAGAAAATTAAAAATTTATTTTTCTAACTTACATCTTTATATCACTATGATAACATTGTGTGTGTGTGTGTGTGTGTGTGTGTGTATAAATAATATGATGAAGTTTTATATAGTTGTTTTAACTTAACATACTTTAATTCTAAAACTTACCACAGCAAGGTCAAGAATATTAACAAATATACTGCTGACACAATTGGTGTTTTAGCAAGACCATACCAAAGTAAGAGAAATGAGTTTAAATGTTGTTGTTATTGTTGTTGTTGTTGTTGTTATCATCATCATCATCATCATCATCATCATCATCAAAAAATAGGAGACTAAACTGCATTATAACACTGGGGAAAGCAAGTATCTTTTAAAAACAAGACCCAACTTCTTTAAAACTAATAATGCTAATGATGACCTAGAAATCTCTCTTTTCAGAAATGGTCCCAAAAAAGAAACAACCTAACTTAAATTGATACCTTTGCTCATACCACAAAGTGTTTACTTTCTAAATCAAGGAACAACAATTGGCACAAAATAGGAAATATGAGTTGAAAGGTAAAAAAATTCCCAAATTATTCCAACAAGTTTATTTTAAGGCTATGAATAATTATTTATATTATTGCACAACTCTTACTAAAACTGATAAAGAATGTAAATTAAAAGCTGTGAAAACTAACTGAAAGTGGAACAGGAAAGAAAGTAATATCTACTTTTATTGTAAATATATCATTTACTCTATACTACACACACACACACACATACACACACCATTCCTATCAGAGAACTGTCCACTTTTCCAGCATGCAAAGAGTAGCAAAGTAAGATCTAAGAACTACTTAACCATGTATACCAAGTACTGTAATGCATTCCAAGAATACACGTGCATGTATATATTTGGGCGCATTTATGTAGTTGATAGTAAACACTAGCAGTTTTGCTGATGTGACTAACCAGCACTGTCTATGAACACTCATTCATGCATTCTGCTCTCTGCATCTTTGAGGGCTTGAAAATGAACACAATACCTTCCTTTATGCCAGTAGGCTAGGAAGAAAAAAAACTTTAGGCAAGAAAGTAGTGAGCTGACAAAGTCAGAGAGGATATATTACAGCAGCACTTATTCTTCAGGAAATGTGATACGTACTTATTTGTCTAATGAAAAAGCAGAAAAGATAATGTTACAAGCAAATTACCATCATCCAGGACAACTCAAAAAAGCAACCAAGTTTTAGAAGAAACGTCGGCCAGTCTGACTGAAAGATCAGATTCCTGTTCTTTTGAACTCAGAGAATACAATTCTCTTACCATGCAATGAAGCTGAGTACCACTGCATCACTCAGTATTCCTGTCTCCTTATTTCCTTCCCACTCTCTGCTGCCTTCCCATATGACTGTCATTTAGATTAGGTTTCTTGGGATAGGCACATACATATTCTGATACCCTTAAAAGTACTACAATGATGGTTGGATCCACACATCATTCCAATTATAATCTGGTTTGGATTTGGATTTGTATGAAGGCAGTTGTTGTGATTTATTCAACTACAGTTTAACATCGTATGTGAATCCACCTAGTAAAAGGCACCTAACCACTCTAAAATTTATAAAAGAATGATGATGGAAGCTTGGAAGCTGCCCCATTTTGCCAGTTTTAATCAAAGGTGATCTGAGCGGTACATGTGAATGAAATTATTAAGTCTTATATTTACAAGCATGTTGGCTTACATTCCTTAAAATATAATCCTAGTATTGTTTCCTCAGGAGTAAGTCTTATTAAATTTAATAGAACATATGTACTAGTAAATGTGCTTAGAATTACTGGTGCAGCAGCTTTCCTGCTGAGCTCCTTACGATTGTTTCATCCATTTTTCTAAATAGCCTAGCTATGCATCTTATTTTTATCTAGCTTCATTTAATAAACACATTCTCTGCGAGAGATATTCTAAATCTGAACACCAAGTTCCTAAAACATCAAAAAGGCTTCAGATATGATGTGTTGACACCAAAGCAATGGGGAAGAGCAGGTCCAGGCTCACAGACTCTACCTAAGCCAACAAAGCAGCCAAAAATGGATGGCTACATGATGGACAAGGAAACTGTGAGCAAAAGTAATCACAAAATAAATCCTCTCCTTTCCATCCCTGCCTCCAATAGCTATGATATATTGAACTGGAATTTGGAAACAGAAATTGAAAAACAACTACTTCTCTTCTCTACTTTGCACGAGAAAAGCAGCTCTTGAAACTTTTGTGCAAAGTTATGCAGATAAGCTAGCAGCTTTTACAGTAACTCAAAACATTGACACCAACTCCAATCTGTTTATGGACAGCCAAAGGAAACAAAATTGCTCAGGAGAAGAAATTAAGATTAGAAAGGACAACCAAATATAGGCAGAGCTTACAGCCTCACTTTCCACCAAAGAGGTAAACCCGAACAAGTGCAACCATACACTCCAAATAAATCAAGTTGCTTTAAGGATTACACTCAACAGAACTAATATTGGATGTTGGTCTACCAGAAGAGCTATCATTCTATCACTAAGCTCACTTCTTTGATGCCAGTGTCATATGATTGATCTAAGTGTTGTCAAATGGCTTCCTAGCATGACAGGACATAAACAAATTCTACTGTCTTTTAACCATTCCATCATCTCCTGCACACTGTTCAAAGTGAAATCTTTTCTTTCTACTTTTCAAATATACCCACTGTGCATTTGAAAAAAATCTCAGGCAGAGACTCCCCTACCTCATGCTACAGGCAACATGCCAAATGATAAAAACCATAACAACCCAGCAGTTTTAGTGTCCTTGACAAGACACTGCTCAAGTAATCTTACTGAAATTATACAAGAAAATATTGTCATGGATGAAGTTCTAGCAACAGGATTAATTAACTCTTTGAAGCTTACCAAACTGTAAACAAGAAGAAATACTGAGAAGACTGGATGAATTGCAGCAAACACTTCTGTTAACATGAGCAGCAGCCAAACCTTTAACTGACCTGATACCTTTGGACCTCTCATCTGACAGCAGCTCCACAGAAAATCATTATAAACTCTCTGAATCCTGCAATCAAACAACTCCTCCAAAGAAAGAAAACAACCTACACCCCAGGAAGCCCACATGTCCTTCTACCCTGCAACAGCCCAAACTGATTCCATCTTGTTCGGTTTCAGATAATGACAATCTGATTCATTCTGTTCTATCTAAAGGCTTAGATCAGAAAAGAGGACAAAAAGAAGTTGCTATATCAAGAGTACATCCTAACTAAGATCTCCAGCCCGCAAGTCCAGCTAAGTCCAGAGGTAGCAAATTAATTGATATTAGTCCAAAGTTGCTGCCTGCTAATGATTCTCATTCTGATGACAACATCAATATAACATCAGTATGTCTTCTTGCACCTAGACAAGGACATAACACTTTAAGTGCCACCAGCTGACTCATTCCTAAGGAACTGGGTTAGATAAAAGCTATCTCTTGGAATATTGCTGGGTGGCACAATAGATTGGTGGATACCCATTCTGAACAGTACCTATCAGAATTTAAGATCATTTTATTACAGGGATTGGTCAGACAGTGGTTACGGGTAGTCCTTGTTTAGCAACCACAATTGGGACCAGCAACTCAGTTGTTAAGCAAAGCAGTGGCTAAGTGAAACTGCAACTGTGTATATGATCTTTCTTCAGCTTTCCTCTGCTTTACCGACCTATGAAGATTGTAAATGCAAGGAATGGTCATAAAGTTACTTTTTCATCCCTGTTGTAATTGCAAACAATCACTAAATGAGGCAGTCTCTAAACAAGGACTACCCATACATCCCAGTTGTCCAGATAGCTTAGAATTACTGCCTTAAATGCATAACTTTATATATACTGACTCAGTAGGGAACCCTCACTGTGATAAGTAAGTTAATGTAAATACAATTGCAACTTTACTATCTAACCTATGAATTAAATGACATATACAAAGAACCAAGCTGATCATGACATCAGGTATAATTTAAAAAGCTGTTTAGCTTATACTTGTTATCTCAAGTGAGTACTGTATCTCTCAAGGTGTGTTAAGACCAACTCCCACCACTCTTGATCTTTAGCCATGCTGGCCCAAATTCCTCACATTTGTCACACAGAACTCAACATTACAACTCAAATCAAATTCAGGTCACAATTATCCTCTGTTATATTCAAGAGTGATTGATTGTATGCCATCCACTTGGTGTCAGCTCTTAACAAGCACATAGAAAGACCTTCTCCAGGATAATCAAAGGCAAATATGAGGACTTATTTGAGTCCTATGAAGCTTCCATGTAAGTGAGACCATGGATACTACAGGGTTCCTATGCATGGAGGGGCCTCTGTATCTACAGCTGTATTCATGAAAACCCCCTCATACCTATTTGCACAGACATCAAGAAAAGCCAGCTTCCATACCTTCAATGTTGATGAGTCAGGGGGATAAATGCAATTTGAAAATAATTCAGAATAAGCGTTTCAGACCTTATATGAGCACGCCTCTCTGTATTCATTAAAGCAGCCCAGATTATAGCTGAATGCCCAATCACTCAGTTACAGTCCCAAATGATGGCTAATAATGATAATATTTTATTTTCATCCAAATCATAATTAATGAAGTTTGCTAACCATCTAGAATTTCTTCATAAAAGCTGTGAATGATGGCATATGTGCAAAAGTTAAATAATGACTCATTTCATCAGAAGTTGAAACTCATTATAAATTATAGCTATAATTTACCTCAGTTGCTTCTGCTCCTTTCTTCTCTCTTGATGCTCCACTTGCCTTTTTATCACCATGCTGTAAGAAATTTTTTAAATGTTAAAACTCTCATTTGAAATAATACACAATATTCTCTACACCAAGAATAGGCAATATAGTTCTCCAAAGCATCATGCCCACAGGCCTCTCCCTTTTCATCCAGTAGATCTTTTGCCCCATTCTAAATAGAAAACAAGAAGCTAGCAGGCTGCAAAGCACACCAGTGACTTCTAGTATTGTCTCTACAAGAACTCCACCAGCTCCCACAACAGGTTGGACAGACATATTTAGAAAATAAAAAGGATGGGGTAGTCACAATGAAGGTGAAATGAAAGCACCGTAATGTCCAATCTGCCTTCTTTTTATCAACTAGGATTTTATACTGAATGTGTCTACTTACAACAACCGTTTTGTGGAGGGAAAAGCTTCCCTCCTCCCTTTATTAAGAGCTCACATGATATAATTACAAAATTCCAAATGTTCTTATTGGCTTCAAAATGTTGCCTATCCCTTAAGTTTAAATGAAAGGAAATACAGTATAGATTTTGTTCTTCTATATCCATTAATTTTTGGAGTGTAAGCCCTGGTACAACATCAGGGAGGTCCAACTTTTTCTGGAACACAGGTCATATTTGATCACCCCTTGTTGTACCAGGGGTTTTCTCCAAAAACTAGAGGATGTGACTGAGACAAAGCCTAAATTGTACTTCCTTTCATTTAAATTTAAATGAAAATTTAAATTAAACCAAAATATAACACATATAATTACTCCCCACTCTTACACTAAATCATTTTTTCTTCTGTCACATTAAAATTTACAGTATGACAATAGCTAGCCATACCCAGAATTTTAGAGATGACATATACATACATTCTTTATTATAATCAATGATCCACATGTATCAACATATAAAAATATAAAAACAATTAAATATATGATCATTGGGGATATGTTATTTGATTATGTGTCTTGACTGCTGTCATGGAAAATTTGGTCACAATAAACTTTGTATGCCAAAGATCTGTCTGTCTCAGATGTTGTTGCAAGATAGATAGAATAAATAAGTTCCTTCAATCCCTATACAAATTACAATACAGCACTACAAGTGATTATTTCATTTTTTCCTGAAATGCACAGACAAGTCCATTCAAATAAGGAGGGGTTGAGTATCTACCCAGCAAGAAAGTGGATGGCAGAGTATTATATTCCTCAACCTAAGGAAAGTGAAAGATGTCACATATTTGGCCAGCATGCTGGGATTCCTTGGAATCCAGATTCTACTATAGCACAGGATCCTACTAACCTCCAAATGATACTCCATATCCTTCATCCTCTGAAGGACTACATGTCTGGCCTTAATGTAATCCACAGTGAAGAGAATAGAGGCCACATATGGCCCTGGGAACTCAGGACATCTCGCTCTGCTGTACACTCACTGGAACTCTGGACTTGTGTTTCTTGAACAGCAACTTCCCACCTGCCACCTCACAGCTTCCATTCCAAAAATTTATGGTCCATTACAAGGATATAATCTTCAAGAAGCGCTTATGAGAGCAGCTAAAATAGTTTTTTACTATTATATTACTTATACTGAAACTCTCTTCCCCAACCTATTACGCAACAGAATGCAGCAGCTGAGTACAGTATTGTCTGCCATCCTGTCACATGATCATCCAGACATATATTCCATTCTAGCACTCTGACAAATTAGCTGGGAAAGGGACTTCCAGGGAAGAAATGGCGAACTGAAGACAGCTCTGCTGAAAGTAGAGCCAACGGTCACAGCGGAATGAAGAGCCAGAGTGAAACGCTGACCTTTTGTGTTTGGAAGATGATATGGAAAAGGAGCAAGCTTTACCAGATAGGACTGAGTCTGATTTGAAAGTGGATCTAAACTTGCCGAACTATGGGAATGATGTGGAAGGAGATGCTACACAAACGAAACCAGTTGATGTTTTACCAAACTAAAAAAGTGACCTAGGTAACTTTCTTATACTGGATTTACAAAAGAGACCTGTTAAAGTTGTGAAGAATTTTGTAATTCATGCACTTATTTTGTTCTTAGAAAGAGATGGGTTGTAGAAGTAGTTACATATATAACAGGATACACTTTACCAGGTTTAACTTTACCAGGGTAAGCTTTATTCTGGCTTGTAGAGAAATTAATTTTGAAATGTTTAAACAGACACATATAAATTACCTGCTTATCACAAAAGCTGTAGTAAGGCAGAAGAAAGGGGAAGAAATCAACAGGTATTGTTTAACTGCTTTATCTGACTATTGCTTGACTTAATTATCCTTGCGCAACTGAAAAGGAAACTAAATTTTCCCTGTTTGAAGTTATGAAACTGAAAAGAAAAAAAAAACAGAAGGAAGTTTTTGATTCTTTCAATACTGAATGTTTCCACAAGAACCTAAAACCTCAGTGTTCTGAATATGTTCTTCTTGCACAACCACCAGAATTCCCACTAAGACAGATAACCACTAAAGATTTAAAATATTAAAAACCCCAATATGTAAAAAAAATAAGCAAGTATGAGACATAAGGTGGTGATGAATAACAATAATTTCATATGAGAGCAATAAACAAAGATTCAAGGAAGATGCCTTCCAGAACAACATGCCTTAATGGGATGGTCAGAGATAAACTAGGCCATATATTAATTTCTGGAAATAACTGAAACAACCAGCGATAAGTCATACCAGGACTTCTGAAACATTTTCTTCTTCAGTATGAACTCATTAAGTCCTTTTGTAGAGAGACTTGACATATTCCTTTCAAGATGGCATTTCATGGCAACGTGAAAACCTTTTTCTTTAGAAAGGCCCTTGGACTTTAAATGATTTAAATGATATAAATAAATAAATTATTTGTGTATTTCATTTCACAGCTCCTTCATTGTGCTTCTGTTTGAACTCTCAACCCTAGCTAAGAATGCTAAGCACTTTTCATCTATACCTGCTAATCTATCCCATTGTTTACATAAGATAGCAATTAAAGCAAAAATTAAATACTGATGGAATGGATGGTACTTATAATCTAATGCCCTACAGAAACCATCCCAGATAAATTACTACTCCAGGACTTTGCTCATCTCTCTCTTAATACAGCTACAACTCTGTGTCTACTGGAGCTACTAGAAATTACTTCTTAGTAGCTATGCATAGGAATATGCTATGAATGATATGTATCAAGGAAAAGGTGACCTTCACCACATTACACAATTAAAAAGTGATCATTCCAATTATATGGGCACACTTTAAAAAATTAGCCTAAGCAACCCAAACTACTGAAATCAGTGTGCTATTAAAGTAGGTTCTTATCTATGTACCCAACCTACTTAGAGCCTCAATGATCTATGTCATATTCAGTAGCCATAGTTTACTGCAAGGAACAGCCAATGCATGAGATCTGCATGAGCATCATAGTTCATGTGATACATTTAATACCACATTCTTACATTAAAAATGTTTAAAAATGGTGTGTACAGAAGAAAAAAAATATTAAAATATAACAAATCGCAGTATACCCTAAAAAGGAGGGAAAGCACATGACATTCATGCAGGTGCCTTTTAAAAACCTAAAGGAAACCATTATAGGTGCCTCCCAAATATCAGAGGAAAAGCATTCCAGAGGATAGGCTCTACATAGAGAAGGCCTAGTTTTCAGTAACCATAACATAGCTGTCCATCAATCACAGTGCAAGAGACCTTTTCCAGTCTTAGTGATCAACCAAGTCTAAAATGAGGAAGATGATCTGTTAAGTGCATGACCCATTCCATCTCTTTTGCAAGTTTATAATCACTTCCTAAAGTTGGCAAAATCAGCAAACACAAAGGATTACTCTTTTAATGTGATTGCAGGTTAATTCAGAAAGTCCTTCTGCAATGATAACTGCCAAACTTCAAAAAAAAGTGTTCTAATTTATTTTTAAAAGCCTCCAATAAGCCAGAAATGCACTGTGCTAAAGACATTAAAAGCAAAAAAAAAAAAAAAGTTAGGCACTTGTTCAGAAAAAAAGCCTCTATAGTTTTTACTTCTCAGAAGCCTTGGTCATTTCCTTCCTTCCCAACTGGAGAGGAGGAAAAACATACAGGACTTTTTGAAAAGCCATTCAATTTTTCAATTTAATATATGCAATAACATAACCATAGACGTTGGCAGGTGAGTTAATATTAATTTTAATTAGATAAGAGCTGCAGATCCACCCTCCACAAACATGGAAATCACCAAATTTACATTGAAAATGATGGACTTTTTTAATGAAAAGTTTTGCATAGCATTATCTTAAATCATCAACTAAGTTACCCAAATGTTTCAGAAACTTTAATAGAAGAAATAACTAATTTTGTTATTCCCAAATCTGGCTTATTATGTACATTCCAAGATAAATCAATTTTGTATATGAAAGATATTGGTCGCTTTCAGTCCGATTTATTCAACCCATTTGAGTTTAATCCTACCCTTCAGAACTATGACCACTTTCCTTTTCTAATCAGAGTCCGACTTTCATGTCAGAAAGTTAAAGGCAGCGTAAAAGTTCACAAGAATAAGCCAGCTATTCTGTGCATACCAGAAGGGCGTAAACTTTCTGGTTCCCTGGGCCAATTCATCCCTGGTGTAAAGCGCGCAGGTACGCCCTCAGCAAGACGAGGAAGGATTTCCATTAAGCCGTCTCGAGAGGAGTATTAGCGACCGACACTCCCTCAGAACTACATCAAATACCGGATCTCCAAGTAGCGCAGCGATTATTGTATTATCAACTCCACGTGTATTTACCGTCGCATACCACCAGCTCGCAAACGCCATCGCGCGGACCGCTCCCAGCTCTCCTTCCAAGTTCGCCTTCAGCGTCCTAAGAGCACGTACGAAACTCCAGGGTATGCGCGGCGGGTTGCGACTCTGCGGCAAGAGGGCTGGGAAGGTGTGCGAGTAAAGAGCGGGGCGTGGAGAAGTCGTTGCGTCCCTTCAGCCGGCCCGCCCCCAAACAGACAGCAGATTAAGGAAGCTGAAGAGGACGGCCCGTGTCAATTTGGTGTCCGCCTGCTGGAGCCATGTCTTTCTGCTTTGAAGTAACTGCAACAGGGGGGTGCCTAGAAGTAATCGTCTCTTTGTGGACAAACTACGCGCGAGTTAAACCAACCACCCGGTAGACGGAGGGAATGACAGGAATGTCGTCTCGATCGAGCTGCACCGCCCAAAGCCCTCGAAGTGTGATTTCATTGCTTTGACCCAGTTCCTGGAAGAAGGGAAGGCGTGTCTCCATTCATTGTCTTTCTTTCTAAATCCCTAGCATTTCCTGGGTAAAATTCCTTCTGCTGTGCCCAAATATCTTTTTCTAAAAAGGCTAGGCAAGAAGCAGTATTTTACCCCAGGGTTGCGTTCATAGATAAAGAAATGCACTTTGCCCGAGGCAGAAATTAAGTACCCATAAACTTGCTATATTCCCACGGGTGCTAACCTAGAGTCAGCTGCATCGGCTTATTGGGCTGGGCTTACCTGCCTGGGTTCACACACACAATGCAGTGGATCATAAACTAACCACACTAGTTTGGTTCCCACAGAGTACTGAATCACTTTGTAGCCAATGGCTTGAGAGCCCCGAAGAGTGTTCAAAGTCAGCTACTGTAAAGTATGAGAAAGATATTACAAACACTCTTTATTCTTCTTAGGGCACCTAATAGGTCACTAACTATCAAAGGAGGCACAGAGGTTTTATCTTCAGTGCAACACCTTCCCCTGATACCTTGACTTCCCCACAGAGTTCAATTGCAAACAGCATAAAAAGAAAAATGGGCAAGAAAAAAGTGGGGAGGAAGTCAGGATTAGGAACAATTTGTTCCACAATTTTGTGAATGGATGCAAGGAATCTCCACCTGCCATTGGCCCTGCCACCCCACGAACAGGGCGGCCATAAGGTCGGTTGCCCAACACTATACTTTCCCAGGTACTATAAATTAACTGGGCAGACCTGAATGATAGAATCAAACCTGCCCCAAACTGTGAAACTTAACTCATAGCAGGAACATCTGCAAGGCGAAATGAAAATTGGAGGGCACCCGCTGGTATTAGAAATAAGATATAGGTCTTTTATCAAAAGCAACCTCATACCCACCTGTCATTTCTTCTCTAGGCGGAGGACTCTAAATTGTAAGAGCCTCTCTCCATTAAAGGGGAAGGGGGTGTCCAAAAGCCTGAAGACAATCTGTTAACTAAATCCCCTGACTTCTATCGGAACCACTGTAGGATACCAACTGGATTTCATTTAAACCAGAGAACAACACAGAACTTAATGATGGCAGTGTAGATGAATGCCATTGAAAATACAGAGGTTCAGAGCCTGCGTTCATACAATGCATTAGTTGTAAAGAAACAAGCCATAACGGTGCTAATCCAAAACAAACCCATTATGTTTTAAATGGCCTGGTTCATACTACAGGCCACGATGTGGGGGCTGTTTGCACAATATACCAACCTATGGTAAACTTAATCATAGTTCATTTAAATTTCTGGGTTCACACGATACACTGAATCATAACCAAAAGGCTATATTTTCAGAACACGCTACACTAAAATGCGTTTGCTGATTTGTCACTCAGAAAGTCATGTGATTTGGTACGTACTTAATAAATCATGGCTTTATAATTTGGCGTCTTGCAGGAACACAAATGGGGACGATACAGTTTCCAAGTCAAAGACAGCTTTGAATCCTCGCAGTTTAGAAACCGCCCCGAGACAGATTTCGGGACACACAGAGTCACTTTCACATAAACTTGCAGGGGTTCTATCTCTGACGGAATCCCTTAAATCTCTGATTTAAAGTAGCACAAAATGCCTGCTGAAAGATTTTAAAAGGGCAATTCGCATAATAGTCACCGTTTTTTCACACGTCCATAGGGAGGGGCTCTAGCCTTTGAAGTCCACTCGCCAGCCTACCTCAAGCGGGCGCCCTCGAGATGAACAAGCTACAACGCTTATCACCCCAGCTGCCAGGGGGAAATTACAG